GATGCTCTGATCCCTTTATTATTGGTAGAAAGCTCTAATCACAAAATGATAATAACTTCATATAAAAATTAATGAAACAATTCCACTCAAAAACATATAGTCCATGTAATCCATTGTTTAATAGGGATTTCTATGGTTTAGTTTAATTTTTAAATATAGTCATGACTAAGACATTAAATTATAATTTTAATTATAGGCAAAATGAATTCCAATGCATTTCATCTGAAAGTTATTTACCCATATTTAAGTAAAATTTAACTTAAGCAAGATATTTTCCACTATAATGACTTTATGTAACTTCCCCACTGACTTATAGGCCAGCAATATATGGCACTAGGCTATCAGATACCAGTAGTTTACATAATCATCACAGGAGATAAAGGAATACAGAATACAAACCCTTATCACAATCTACATTTTGTGTATTGGGGTTTATTTAATTTCTAGGACCGTATTTATCAAGGATATATGTTTTATGTATTGATATTTGCACAATTTACTTAAAAGTTCTAAACATTTTTCTAAAAAATAAACTAGGATAAAAGGAAAAACTGACCTCCAAGAGAACAATTTCTGGAAGAATGTAGAATTATCAGTATGATGCTATTATCTTTACTTGTTTATCTGAAGGGTATTTTGGGTTCAAAAGTGTTTTAATTTTTCCTAATTTTATTGGCTTTTAAATTTAATACTGCTAAAATAAGAGAAAAAGAACCCTGATAAATGCCTGAATAGCTAAATTAGATCTCAGAGAACCATGCTACATGGGAATCAAGTGACTGTAACAACAATGTCACACGGGAATGAGATATTTTGTAACATTTTGTCTTTGGGAATTGATTGAGAAGTTCTGGGTTTTTTCAATCTGAAATGTACTGTACCCCAAAGACAAAAGCACACACACATGCACACACACACAAATTCCTACTTTTGTATGAAATCAATAGATATGAATGTGAATTACAATATTGTTCAAACCAACTTTGTATGTAATTGATTTGTATGTAATTGATCTGTATGTAATTGATCCTCAAAATAAATTCAATAACTAATTTAAAGTAAAATGAAATATTATCATTTAAATACATAATCAATATAAAAATTGAGATATTTTACATGTTTTCTTTTTATATCTTCAAAATCCAGTAGGCATTTTGCACATATAACACCTCTGAATTCAGACTAACCATATTTCAAGAGCTAATGTGGCTAGTCGTTACCTATTGGATAGTATAGTTGTAGAAGATGTCATTACTATTATATTACTATTTATATATATATTACTATTTAGAGAATATTTAGAGAATATCTTATTCATATACAGCAGAATAAATAAATGCCTACATTAAATGCATGGTCATTGTGGCATCAACTTTTTATTGTCAGATTTTTTTTTTATCATTGGCCTTTTCTTCTATTCCTACTAACTAACAATAATAATCTTTCTTACATTATAAGAGTTCTTAATAGAGCTTTCTTATTAGTCAAATACAATACTTAATAGTTATGGATCACATGTTTACTGCCAATTTCTAAAAACCTTCCAATGTAATAAATATATTGGACTCACTCTTGCATTATCATTGTTAAAGTTCTCAGTTGTTGTACTTAGATTTGCACAGTTGTGTTTAACAGGGTATTTCTGTATTTATAAAAATATTTTTTCTATTAATATGTAAACTTTCTTATTGATATATTATAAACACATATATGTGCCTTTGTTAAAGAGTGAACTTTTGATCCTTTCAGAAATATACAATCTCTTTTAATAATTCCAAATCAGAGATACCTGTTTAAGAAATTTCTGATGGAATCTAGTAGAAGACTAAGTGGTAGAACACAAATCAACCTGCTTTTTTTTTTAATTGACTATACTTCTCACATTGTATATTTCATTTCTTTAATTCTAAATTTCATTGGAAAAGCATGTCTAAATCACATCTCTAAGTCAGATGAGGAAAGCCTATTTTAAACCCACCTGACCTCCAGCAATTTGAATAATAATTATGATTTTTAAATGTGGAAGTTCTTGTTTGAAGGAAGATGTCCTATATTAAACTATTTAAGACTGGATATAGTGTCAAGAGTAATTCAAATCAATAAAGGTGTGGACAGAAGCTTAAGATGTCAGCAAGTAGAGAAATAATTATGCCTAAATTTGTTGCAGCATAAAATGGTTTTAGAAGGGAGATGGATAATACTTGCAAATAGTTACTGCTATTTTGAGTTACAGATAAGAAAGTTTAAGAAGAAAAAAACCCATTGAAAATTTAATTAAAACAAACCATTGAGGTATGTAGTCTTCAGTACTGGTCAGATTAGAGAAATAATCACTTTTTTTTTAGTCACAGTTATACCACTTACCCAACTTTTTGCTTCTATCTTTACTCTCCTGGCAAAATCATTATGTGTTTAAAGGGAGAGAGAACAAAACAGGTAAGGCTGCAGCAAAAAGGTACAAGGATACAGTCCCTTCCTGGAAAGAGGATTTTGTGGCGAACCATTTCTCCCATAATGCATCCCACAGACCATATATCCACTAGAATAAGAGAGAGGGAAGTGAAGAAAAGGGAGGAAAGTAAAGTTAACTAAGATAATTGATCTCTGAAGGAGAAGGAAAAAGAAGCGTTTGATTAGAAGGTACAAATTTTGTCTCCCACCAAAAGTTGGCCAAAAAGGTAGATTAAAACCAGCAATATAATATCACATAAACAACATCTAGTATAAGAACTCAAATTAATTTTTAAAGTTACTTTATGAGTGCCTTAGATTGCCCTTTAGTGCCATAAAATGGTAGCATGGAAAAGCAGCAGCTTAACCAAAAGTATCTCCATGCCAGGTGACAGCTAAAAGCCACCAAAGGGTTTTTGATGTCATTTGCTGGATGCAGAGAAAATAATCTTAATAGACCCTTAGGGATGGCTGTTTCCATTTTCTATTCTATTCAGTTACACGGAATAGGGCAACTAGAGACCCCCTTTTTCTTGGTCCAAAATAAGGTACATGCAACCAAATCCAAGAAACTAGGAAATGGCTGGAACCATGGTTTAGGCAGAAATATTGGAATCCCTGGTATTCAAGACTTAGTTTTTCCTTCAGAAGTTATTCTTGTAAATAAATACAAGTTTTTGTTTCTGTTTGAAATATTTCAAGAAATATTTCTTGAAATATTTCAAGAAAAAAGATGCATAAATAATTTGCACATGTATAAAGGAGTCATGACATAAATAAAGTATTATTAAAGTGTTAAAAAGTTGTTACACACATAGGTTCCTCAGTTGTCATACTTGTTAACAAAACAGGCTTCACCTTCTCTTACTAATCTTTACCCTCTTCCAACTCGCTTTTTAGTAAGGACAAAGGGAACTCTGGGGCAGAAACATTAGGCTAAAATGCTCCTTGGGGAAGGAAGGCAGGGTTCGGTGCACAGGGTAGCAGGGAATGCCTGTTGTCAGAGCAAGCAGGTTCCTCTGCATGATAACCTTTATCCTGTATAGAGGTGAGAGCAGCACAAGGGTGCTAGGTGTGCTTTCTGCATGGATCGGGAGAAGCCGAAAAACTAAGGCAGGAACTTGCAATCCTTTCTAGTGAGGGAAGAACAAGGGATGAGATCACATGCCATCTGTACAGCAAAGGTCTGAAAATCCATAACAGCAAATTCAGAACACCCTCCCCCCCAGATTCTTGTAGATTCTTGATTTCTTGAATTTTTTAATTTGTTCCCACTTTGATTTTTTAAAAATAACTTATGAAGAATGTATACAACTATCTTCTTTTCCAAATAAGTTAGGTGTGGTATTGCCTTGGGAAGAGGACTAGATTTTCCTCTTCCAAGTCAAAATGGATTAGAATTCTGCCATTGTCCAACAAAGTAAACCTGACCTTCCTAAGAACCCTTTCCCTTCCTCTGCACAAATGCACAAAAGTATTGGCTCTCTTCTAATCTGGAAGGGCACAAAGAAATTTTTTAAAACTTTGGTGGCCAGGGAATTTTCATAAAAGTACTCTGTAGCACCTACACATAAAAATACAATGATAATTATTTCTATAAAACTTATAGATTGCCAGGAACTAAATAGAATAGAATATCAAAATGAGTATGAAAGGTACATTGAGTGCATATATACAATTCTAATTTAAGACAAGTTTAATTCCTAAATATAGTGGATGTGTTTTTTAATACACCTCATTACTTGAGATATTCTTTTCAAAATAATATATTGCAATGCTTTCTAATAAGTATTTTTATAAATCCTTCATTTTAATAAAATCAAATTGGAATACATTTTGAAGATTCTTTCTACCTTTTCTTTTAAAGTGTTCATGAATACTAGATTTTCTTCATAAAATCAATCACATAAAATTTAATACTTTTCTCTCTCTATGGTTTTAGAATTTATAAAAACGTACTAGGCAATTGCTACCTTAACTATTACTTATGGAACACTTTAAAGTATTAAAGAAATTCTTATCCAACTTGAACAATTTGGATTATTCTAAATTGACTGTGCATTGAGCTTTTGTGAATATTCTTGCTCCAAGGATTTGTGGTATCTTTTTATTTGTCTTTTCCTAAGACTAGAGCCATCAATCTAAGAAGTGACATAAAGCCAAATGGCTAAATGCAGTAGATAGATTTCTTCCTGTTTATACTCACTTTGAGCTGAGCTGCCACCTAAATAGCAATTTTTCTCAATATCTATAGCATGTATGCTAATCAGCATCCACTTGATTGCTTAATCAGACTCCATTTACAATTCTTCTTAGCTATGACATTTCAGTGTTCTTCTAACCAAGCTTACTTCTCAGAAACATCCTTTACATGTTTAATGAGTGGTTCTTCGTAGTAATATTTTTTTAAAAACCTCTGAATATGAAAGCTGGCAGCCTTATTTTTTAAAAAGTTCATATACATGAGAGAGAACATTACTCTTGGCTATCTAAAGCACGTACTCATTTTCTTCACAGTTTCTTTGGCTGGTACTCAGAAGCATCCTTACCGTTCTCCTTGTAGCCCATTCCCAGAATAACCTCGGGGGCCCTGTAATAACGTGTCACCACATAAGGAGTCATCATGAAGCTTGTGCCTGCTGTCCTGGCCAGTCCAAAATCTAGGATTTTCAATGTACAATCAGACTTGACTACAATGTTACTTGGTTTCAAGTCCTGACAATAGGAACAAGAGAAGATATTAAAAGCTAGCATCAAATGGAACATGTGATTTCCATCTACTCAATCAACATGGCAGTCTTGCAATAGCACTGATGGGTGCCCGCCTGCCATTGACTGTAGAGCCCTATGTAAAGCAAAAGAGTACTTCCCAAAAGAAGTTTACAATTAGTTTTGGGATTTCTTTGTTTTAACATCCTCAGAAACTTTTTTAAACCCAGAAGAGAATTGTATCATTTTTACAATTTAGTCTCATCTTGGAAAGAGGTTTTTAGAAAAAAAACATCATTTATTGTCATGTTAGGTTTCTCCTTATGGCAACATAAACCTTTTAGTTTATACTTCATTTCTAGGCCAGACAGAAGAGCAGATCAGGGCTGCTGTCTTTATGTGACCAGAAACATTGGAAATGAACTGTCTTGTTTCAGCTGCACATATGACTCTGCCAGTCAGAATTTCTGAGAAGCCTTGGAAGCTGACTCTCAATGAGCTGAAACAAAATGTTAAACAAAACCAACTACAGTGTGCTAAAGTCTCCTCCTACACATTAGTGAACTATGTGCTAATTCTATAGTAAAATAAATGAAGTACGTTATATTTAACCAAGCTCCCCTACATAAAGAAAATAACCTACAGTTGCTCTTTCTCTTCTCCACAAGCATCTTCATTATAATTCTGGACTAAGTATTCTTACCCTGTGAATAATTCCAGCAGAGTGAAGGTGCTTGATGCCACACAACATTTGGTATAGCAGGTAAGACATTCGCTCGTGGTCTAACTCCATCTGAATCACCTGACACAAGTTGGCATCCATCAGTTCCATTACTAAGTAACTGCAAGGTAAATCCACTTTGTAAGTTCCAAATCACAAGACATGTGAAGTCCTTCAAACAAGTCAGGATCCTCTCCTAAATCTATAAGTTTCTGAACTTCCCAGCTCAACTTTTGACTGAATTAAGTATATGAAAAACCTCCAAGTATTGCATGCACGTTAGCCATGGTAACTCTACCACAAAGATGCTAATAGAAGTAGCATTTATTAGTGTGTGGTTCCTGTCCATATATTTTGTACCTTCATCTTGTTCTCATTTTACCCTGAATTCCCTGAACTCTTTCCCGTGTATTATGATTACAAATAAGAAAAAAAATTCAGAATAGCATCTTCCATTAAACGCAAGGTATCTGTGTTAAATAAGACAACGTGCTAGGATTCACTTCCTCTCCTCTGCTTATTGTCATAATACTTCTGGAAGGTTTTTTTGCACAAAATCAAAGGTACCACAAAAATAGAAAGAAAGATTAAGGATGATTTTTTATCATGTCCATCATTAATATTTCTCAAAGTGAATTGACTCATTCTAGAAAGTTCACAGAATAAATTAAAAATAAGTAAAAATATAGAATAACTAGTAAGGCTTCCCTGATTCTGACTGAACTAAAGAACATGGGGCAACAAAGCACAAAGAGCCATAAGGCCATAAAGTAGCAGAAGTGTCTTTCCAGGAAGAAGCGGCAGAAACAGAATCTTCTCTCCTGTCACTGGATCCCTTCCATTTGCCGCCAGTTCTTACCTCCCTTTGATCTCTACAAGGGATTTCATTCATCTGATTTTTGTCAATATCACTTGAGTTATTTGAATGTTATGCTCCCCCTTCCTTCATGAGTTTTGTTACTTACACATCTTGGAACTCCTCCAGCGTTTTCTGGGGTGTGAAGACATTTAATAAACTAATAATCTGGAGAAGAGACAGTGGAAGGGACAGAAGAAGGAGAGAAAGAAAAGGGGAGAAAATTAATTATTTAAAAAGCATATTTAAACAAGCACTTATTCCAACTCAAAGTCACATATTAGTGCTATGGTGGATATAGAAAAGTCAGAAAAATTTTCTAGAACTGTCTCAGAACATTCAAAAACGTATTCAGAAAGGACATGTAATCTGTCTTCAGGTTAAAATGCAATTAAAAAGCTCAAATTCTTAGGCAGAGAAAAGAGTCACAGAAGATATATGATTGTGATATTGCTTTAGAGTGTGATTCTCCTTAGTAAATATAGGGTTGTAATGTAACTAAACAAAAAAGAGGAAAAGCCATGTAAGCAAAGTAAGGCAGCAGTGAAATAACCAGCAAGACTTAGCAAGGCTATGTCTTCCTCTAAATGAAAAGGTGGTGTTTAAGTCAAGGAGATGTTCTATGTTAAGGAGGTATTCTAAGTCAAGATTTTTTTGTGTTGTTACTTTAGTTTTTTTGCTTCTATTTCACACTCAAATATTATTTAAACTAATGCTCCAATGGTATGTGTGGGGAAAGGTATATCTTGGATGATATCAATGATGAATTTAATGGCAAATGTATTTTAAGTTATAAAAATGATTTTTTAACTTTTTTGTTTCCTGCTTTAGTTATTTTATATATTAGGTAGTAAAGAAGTTTACCTTCTAGCATAAGTAAATGTTAAAAGGAAAAAACCTTTGTTTTATGCAAATAGATTACATACATAAATAACTCAAAATTGTCTTTCAGCTAAATATTCTGTACTCAAGTGCCAGTGGGAAATAAAAATAAAAAATATAGATAACAGACCTCTACTCATTGGATGGATGCAACCATTTCACAAAAACAAATTTAAGATGTGTACATCTTTAAAACATGAACTAACGAATTTCAATAAAGTTCATAAGTGGTATAGAAACACGAAGTAATAAGCAAAACAAAATGATTTTCAACATCGGAGAAATGCAGTCAATCTAAGGAATGCTTTAGGCCTTCAGTAGTTTCCAATTATTGAGGAATTACTGAGAAAAACAATCACAACGCTATCCAATACTTTCATATATATATATATATATATATATATACAGGGTAATTGTTATAACATATCAAAAAGCACAAGATTATCTCTTCTGAAGTAACCTTGCAGCATGGAATATGCATATGGAAATAAAACTGTTTCAAAATATTTTTTTAAAATATTTACTTATTTGGCTGTGCCAGGCCTTAGTTGCAGCACGTGGGATCTAGTTCCCTGACCAGGGATCAAACCCAGGCCCCCTACTCGGGGAGCATGGAGTCTTAACCACTGGACCACCAGGGAAGTCCCTCAAAATATTTTTAAAACTTGTGATTAAAGTGCTTTGCTATTCTGTATACTTAGTTATGGTGTGTATTGAAAAATGTCTACAGTTCTCATTGGAACTGTGAGCCTGTTTTTATAATACTTAATCGTAGAAAGTAATTCATTTTGATATTTGTTCAAACAAAAACATCAGAGACTGTGTGTGGGACACACACACACAACACGTACAAACAACCCTTAAAGATGAAAAAATGCTAATCCATATTATCTGGTGAATAAATAATCTAGGTAATCTAAATTAATCTAGAAAATAGCATTACAATGTTAAATAAGTCAAGGTTTATTATTTTAAAAAGTAAATTCCCCACTATATATTCTTGTATTCCCCTTTTCTATGCCCTTGTTTTAACACCTTCATTGTCTTTGATTTTCCTCTGAGTATTTCTCCTCTGTTCTTTCTTTGATCCCTTATAAATCCTAACTGCCATTAATAACCAATCAAAAATCTTATCTTTAGAAACAGACCATCACAGTTATTTCCATTTTAGTTCAAACGTTTTCAGGCAGGAATCTGATGCAGTTCCTTTTTTTTATTCCAACCCATTAAAATGCACAGATGTGAATCAACATCTGTGTGAATCAACATCTGTCATGGCCCCACAATCGTAACAGCTATCACTTCCTAGAAATGTGTTCATTTTCTAAATGGATTATTAAAAACTTAATTGGGGTTGCTTCACTATTTTACATTACTTTCCACAGCATTTCCAGCGTTCTTCATTCTGACTGCTTGTAGTTAGTATTACAAGCAACAACGTGGAATTTGCATTTGGTTGTCAGTGAATTTCCTTTCTGTTAACAAGTTCCAGAAATTTATTTCCCTAGATTTATATACATACATGCATACAAACATATGTACATACACAAACATATGCACATACACACATAGCAGGTAGGGTGCCATTTACAAAATATTATTTCAATTTGGAGATCCTTTTTAGGTAACATAAATGTGAACCCCCATATTCCAGTCAAGAATGGGGAGTAGGATTCCCTCAAATTGGCAAATTAAGTGGGAATTTCTCCACAATGTATTTATTGCATTTTAGGGACTGGAGGGAGGATTAGGGAAATATAAATATTCAATATATGAAAACAAAAAACTATTAAAACTTCCCATGCAGTTGTTTCATTGCTTGTGTCCATCCATCTTCCATTGCCTATGGTATTTCTCATCCTCTTTGCTATCATAAAAATAGATTGCATTGGTCATGTGGTTAATCTTGCTCCTGCCTTTATTTCACGTACTGAAAGAACAAAGTGCTTTAGCACAATGATCTTTCTTAGGAATCATCATTTCTAACATTTCTATATTCCTTTCTAGAAGTATCATGTTCCTTGCCTGGCCAAATCAGAGATGGGTACATACTTCATAAAGTTTCTCTTTCTGAGTGAGGCCTTTCCTGCTAAACCTATTTAAAAGAGTAACCCTACCCACTCTGCACTGACCAGTATTTTTTATCTTTCTTCTTCGTTTTGTTTTCCTTGGTAGCACTTATTACTATCTGACGTTCTAAACATTGACCTACCTATTTTGTAGACTGCCTTTCTCTTCCCAGTAGAACATGAGCATCGCATGGGCAGGGATTTGTCTCTCTTATCTTCACTGCTGTATGTTTAGCACCTAGAGCATCTAGATCGATACCTGGAACACTGTATTCATTTAACTGTCAAATGACTGAACTAAAAAGTCATTGGAGTAGAGTAATAGGAGGAAAAAGAAACACTGTCATTGGGCCTAAATCCACATATTTTTATTTTAAATATCTTTCAGCTAAACACTCATACATTTGCTTCTACTTAGTACCTTATGACAAATTCACCTGTTTATAAAACTTCACTGATAATTTCATGTATTCTGTGATTTTCATACTCAAGAAAAACTTTATAAGGAGTTATTATAGTTTTATAATAATTTATTTTTATTATATGTTTGTATGTAATAAATTATATATAAAATATTTATTATAGTTTATTTATTAATTGTCTTTATTAAAATAAGAATTATCTCCATTTATCCTTACTAAGAAGAACAGGAGCACAGAAAGAATTCTAGAGGCCTTTGCCAGTGTTTGAAGAAGATTATATTCTGAAGTGAAGAAAGCCCTGTAATGGTGTTCCCTACTGAGTTCCAATGTGAAATGTTCTTGAGAAGCCTGTTCTGAAGTACACTGCAGATATGTCCCTGCACGTTTGCCCAACCCTACAAAAAGCAAGGTGCCAAAGCACAGTGTGTATACTGAACAGTTGGAGGACACTGCCAGACTATAGCTAAAAGTAAAAGGAGATAAAAATCTTCACCTGTTAATAATTAAATTTAAATTTTTATAAAGAAACATAGCATATTGTTCTTTAAGATATTTTTGGTTTGGTTTTGGTTTGTTTGGGTGTTTTTTTTTAAATTTATTTTGGAAATGCATGAAGTTCTCTGGTTAATTTGGAGCAAGATAACCAAATACGGTTAATTTCTTAACAGGGAAATATCTATCAGATTCATCCCCTCCATGCCATATGATTTTCAGATGATTTTTAAGAAGAAAGCTACCATGAGCACAATGAAAGCAAATGTAGCATATGGGCAGGATAAACAATCTTAAGGGGCAAAAATTGCAAAGTAAAGAAAGTTTTTCCTACTCAAGTTGGCATACTGATCTTCTTTCCCCAATCTCACCACCTCCTACCACCAGAGCTTTAAAATAAGAACTCACGTTTTTATGGTTCACACACTTCATGAGGACCAGCTCCCGGTAAGCTCTCTTGGCATGCGTTTGGTTCTGAAAGGGTCTGCTGAGCTTCTTAATGGCCACATTTCTGTCAAGAGCAGCATCATACGCAGCACTGCAGAGACCCAAGAGCAATCCAGAATTAAGAACAAAGGAGCCCTTAGAATTCCCGCCTACCAAACTAAAGATACAGATAAGGAAAATACTAGTTTGGAATCCTACTCAAATACCTGCTTCTCAAGCCACATGTCAATCAGGCTGTAAATAAAGACATAAGAGTGACTAGTATAGAAACATTCTACTTGCTAGGAAAAGAAAAAGAGTACCTAGCCAAGAAAACAGCATGTAATTGCATCAGTGAGTCGGGGACAAAAGAAAGAAAAGTGCTCAACTTTCCCACTGGCCATGTGACTGTGGCAAGTCATTTAATCTCTCTGGGCTTGAATTTCTCATCCACTAATATGTGATATTTAGCTGTAAAACTTTATCGTTCTTTGATCGTTTTCAGTGGACATTCATTCTTTCCCCACTCACAGGACAAGTTTTTTTTTGTTTTTTTTGTTTTTGCGGTATGCAGGCCTCTCACTGTTGTGGCCTCTCCCGTTGCGGAGCACAGGCTCCGGACGCGCAGGCTCAGTGGCCATGGCTCTCGGGCCCAGCCGCTCCGTGGCATGTGGGATCTTCCCAGACCGGGGCACGAACCCGTGTCCCCTGCATCGCCAGGCGGACTCTCAACCACTGCGCCACCAGGGAAGTCCCCACAGGACCAGTTCTTAAGGTGTGACACTAATTGCCATGAATGCACAGGTGGGCTGATGCTCAAAGTGCACTCATTAACAATAACAAAGCTTGAAATAAGGAATGCAGTCAGACAGGGTTTCAGAAGAATAAATCATTACATTTAAATACAAAGACAGAAATGAATGCTACTAACATTTGAAGCTTTCAAGCCATTTGAGAAGAAGTTACCATGCTTTATGTTTCTGCCATACCCAGAATACATGGGTTTAGGGATCAAATGAGGAAGTGAATCACTTTTTGCTAAATATTATACCTAATGAACCCACTCACAAAGTTTTTTCCATCTCTGCAAATTTGGGTTGTCCTGGACTTTGTCTTCATTGCTAGGAAAGAAGGGAGCAATCAATATCCTATTGATCTATTGAATTGGAAGTGACATTAACCATTTAGGGCTCATGCCACTAAACTAAAAGATAAATAATAGGTTCGCTGTATTGCAAATAGACTCACAAGAGAAGTTTGGACAAAGTCTTAGAGTTCATCTGGTCCATGCCTCCATTTAATACTTATTCCTCTCCAAAACACCTCCATCAAATTTTGACCAGTTTCTGCTTGAGCATCTTCAAAAACATGGACACCTTTACATAAAGCCAGCTCATTCTGTTGTTGGAAAGCTCTTAGAGTTAGAAATGTCATCATTCTAATAAACAGAGTTGTCTCTCTGTGATTTCTACTAACTACTGTCAGCCCTGTCTTCCAGGGCAACTCAAAATAAAGTATTCCCTTTACATCATGACAAGCCCATAATGTTTGAAATCTATTAAAGGACCTTGCACAATGTCTGGCCTACTCTATAAGCACTCAGTAAGCACTCAATAACTCTTTGCTTTTCTTATTCCCCCCCTAGGTCTTTTCTTTCTTAAGCTAAATTGTCCTACCACCATTTGTCAGAGTGTGATTTCAAGTCCTAGTACCATCTGGTCAGCTTCCTCTGAATATATTACAGTCTGTTGATGTCCTCTGAAAATGCCATTGTTACTCTAAGCATGGAGTGTCAGTGAAGACTAGGGAAAGGCTACCAACTCTTTCATTCATTCACTTGCTCATTCATTCTGTTGACACAGTTAATACAGCTAAGTCTGTCCTGGTTTCCTTGATAAATGCATCACGCACTATTGATTCACAGTGAACCAATGCTAATTAGAAATACTGTCTTTTTAAAAACTTGTGCTGCTATTCAACTCTGTATTTTAGCACTGATACTTCTATTCTTGTGTTTGTTCTGTTCTTGTTAACCTATCAATGTCAGCACAAGAGTCAAATGGGCATACATCTTATAGGTAGTGTACAAGGGCAACAGTTAATTTGGAAATACAGGAATTAAACTTGCTTTCTGAAGCTAAGAAATTGTGTCAACAGGAAAGTGATCAGAACAGTCACCTTAAAGAGAAAGACTAAATTTTAAGCCAAAACAACTTAGGTGAAGTCATTAAAATATCTAAAGAAAGAATAGCAATTAGTCATGTGGGCCTAGGAAGGAGTCAGAGAGGTAAATTCTGGTACTGCCTGGTGAAATAAGAAAGTGTGCTCTCAGGTAGGTCCAGGGATCCAGTCAGCCAGGTGGAAATCCCTACTGTGACTGTCAGAGACTACAGCCAGTTAGCAATCTGATCTGTGTCTCTTTAGTCTGATTCTATCCTCTGCAGTCAAAATTCTACTCATGAGGCTCTCCTTCAGAATTCTGCATATAAGTATTATGCCCATATTTGGTTAGCTTGACTACTGCATGTCTTGTAATTTAATAAATCGGAATCTGGTTTCGTGTGTGAGCTTTTAGTGAGTCTTGTCGATGTGAGTTTGAGTCCCTGAGATACTGAACAGATCCTGGAGACAGTAGGCCCATGTGGAATGACTGAGAAAATGCTGCCCTCTGGGGATCTTGGCAGGTTCTGGCCAATCTCTCCTAGAAATGTTGTGATGTTCTCTCTCCCTCTGGTACCTCTTTCTTGAAGAAATTCTAGGTCTGAATCTCAGCACTACTGCTTACTAGACGTGAAGCTATGAGCAAGCCACTTACACTTTCTGGCATCAGTTTCCACATGCTTAAAAATGGAGGTAATAACAACCTGACAAGATTGTTATAAGGAGTAAATGAGGTAGTAATGTATCTACAGCCCCTTGCCTAGAGTGTGCACTCAATAAATAATGACTATTACTATTTTTAAAGTCAATGTCCTTGCTGGAGTCATTGTGTAATGCAGGGCAGGATAAAAAATATATATATATATAATTTTTTGATATTTATCTGCTGTAATTGGACATGTATCTACTAATCAGCAGTTTTTAATCTTTCTACTAATTACAGATCCATCAACTATACCACTATCCTGAGCACATTTCACAAGTTTGTCCTATGTTATAAAAGTCTGGGACAAAAGCCTTGTTAAAATCCAGACACATATAGCCATACAGTTCTATTACCTACCACTTTAATAAGCTATTTGGTGTGATTTGTTTTTAATGAAACCCCTATTCCCAGTCATCACTACATGCTTTCTTAATGACTCACAGGGTAGCATTTCTAACCAATACTAGGACCGATATCAAGTTCAGTAGGTGTCTCTTATAACCTCCTTCTTCCTTCTAAAGAAATAACGTTCGCCTATCTACAGTTGTTTGGAATATGGTGGTTTGGCCCATTTACTCCCTTGTATCATGCCTTCCTGTACTGAAGAGACTTGAGAGACACACACACAATTCCTAGATGCTTTTGCAGCTAGTATTCTGGGTTCCAATATGGTCCTGCCAGGCAGATGCAACCGTGGGAGATTTGCAAGGCAAAAGTGAGGGTGGTCATCTTCTAACATTTCTTAGTTATCAAGCACAGTCTCAGGAAGATGTGAAATTTTCTTCTGAAGCAGTGATTCATGTCCTTTTCCAGAATCCTAGGAGAGAAGATGGTTTGAAGCAGAGGCAACAGTGGTCTGCAGAGCCCAGTCACCAGCATGATGGAGTAGTGATGATGGTAATAATGAGTGTACAGTTCCAGCTCTGTGATTTTCAAATCTCGGTTACAATCATGTATTCCAGAAGTTCAGTTTTTTTAGGATACTCTCAGAGGTTGGGGCTCCCATGGTGATTCATCTCTCTCATGTCTGGGAGTCCTTCCAGGAAGCCCAGACTAGAGTTCACTTCTCCAGGCCTTCCAATGATTTGCAAGCACCCAATTTACTGTATTAAATCTTTGCCTACTTATAATGTTTCTGCCTCCTGCCATGAACCCTGGCTGACGCTATAATCTTTCCCATTTTCTGTAATTCCTCAGTGATTACTGGCAGCAGTTTAGCAAATACATCTGCAAATTGGAATCACTGGTTGCTGCATAGTCACAAATTAATGTCTGAAAGTTTTTTGCTACTCTGAAGTCCTTCTTTCTTTGAATCTTGGACTATAGAATTTTATTTTATTTCTTTCAGTGGCTTTTCTTTTTTTTCCTTCATGCCAGTAAAAAAAGAGATACATCTTTATGAAGGTTTTTCAGCAACTTTCCAGGAATTCTGCTGAAAATTTTCTAGCAATTTCTTAACATACTCACTTCCACGTCTATCAGGTTTATTCATGAAAGAAAGATACAGCCTTCTTTTGTTATGCTCCTGTCATTTAATCCAGTTTTATGATGCAATAAATCTATGTTTACCTCCTTGAATGTATTTATATAAACACACACACACACACATCCCTGTAGGCAAGTCTTACTCTCAACATAAAATCAATTGTTTTGATATTTTTTCCTTCTGGAAATTGCAGACAACCCGTTGCAAAGTTTTCTTCTTCCTAAGTCATAATTATTTATTTGATAATTTCTCTTATTCCCCTTCCCTATCACATTTAAAATGTTCTTGATCAATATTAACATGCTTGTTGGCAAAAAATTAACTAAAAAATCTCTAGGCATTGTGAGAAGAACTTTATGTCTTAAAAAATAAAAATTAAAAAACCTTATCATTGGAGCACCTTAAACATCTTAAGCCATAGCTGGGCAAGCCAAATTCTGTCCTGGAATATACGCTGCACCCTTCACTGTTCTTTTCCCATGTTCCCATATTCTCACTTTGACCTTTACCAAAGGCCTGGACTTTAATTGAAAACTATCAAAAAATCTCTACCTCATGCCCTCAAATATCTCACTTTCATGCCCAAACATTATAGTCCCTAGACATGCTATCAAGACACTGATTCCACCACAGAGAAACATGTTGGCCAACCTGCAAAATCACCTCTGCCTCAAGGCTTTTGCATTGTTCCTTCTGCCAGGAATGCTCTTCCCACATCCTCACTTGCCTGACTCCATCTTGTAATTCAGGTTTCAGCCTA